ATAGTGCAAAAACATTTTATGCTTGGTTTTAGCACAGGGTAACAATGCAAAGAGGTAATACCCGGTAATAAACAGTGTTTAGGGAAGAGGGAGGAGGAGTCGGGGGGATGGAGTCGGGGGGAGGGAGGGGGAAGGGGTTAATTACCAGGGGGGGATTGTTTAAATGAAATGTGATTAGACGGTTACAATGCAGAGGAGTATCTTTTATAATATATGTACAGTACTGAGCATCATTCAACTCTACTTCAGTCTCCAATCCATTCCTACAAACTCCAATCCATCTTTCTACACTCCAATCCATCCCTCCACACTCCAATCCATCCTACTATACTCCAAACAGCCCCTCTAAACTCCAATCCCTTCCACAATCCAATTACATACTCCACTTTTTTCTCTCCACACTTCAATTATTCTTTCCATGCACCCTTCTTAGAACTTCCAACTCCATCTATTTATATTTTCTGTCTCAATATCCATCTACTATATTTTCTATCTCAATATCCATCTATGTTCTACCCTATCTATCAGTTAAGACAGCTATATTAGTTTAAGAGTGTATACTGTATATTGTGCAACTGCTAAATGTCCCAAAAACTTATAATTTACAAAATCTGCACTTTTAAACATTCTAAACTCACATTTAAAAAAGCTTAGGGCACCTTTACCCCCTACAGGGGGTCTGTCTGCAGCTGCACAGACCCCTAATATACCCCTAAACCATCTCCTGTCTTTTGCTGTAATATTTCAAAAAGTGAACTGGAAAACAGACCCCCCGAAATCCGTGAACTTTTCAGAAATTGTTCAGCTGTTCTCGTGGAGATAATTAACATGTAAGTTTAAGATGACGACAACTCCTTTATTTCTTTCTCCTTTCATGCAGAGTCATAAGTAGATGTCCCTTCAGTGGGTTCATTTTTGAGTAATTTCTTTGCCTTCATTTCAGAATAAAAATGTGGCAAAGAGTAAAAAAATGAAATGTTTTCTTAAATTCTAAACATGTTGTAACGATAGTTTTTCTTTTTTTAGGATAAAGATATCGCAAAGTTTAATAAAAGCTAACTTTAACAAACTTTACCGTAAGACAGTTTTGAAATTGTTTATTTTTGTTTTGAACGATCCAAACCGATTAACAACACTAGTCTTAAGAAATATAAAATTGTGGAAAAAAACAAAAAGTTTTATTTAAAAAGTTACTCTCATCCGAATCACCGATGAAATTAAAATTTGCAAAATTGTTTTGCCTTTACACACAGCGGGGGAGGGCTGGGGGGGGGAGTTTCCTCCTCCCCATCCATACAGTTCCCCTAATTGCCCCCTCAAGTGCCCGCTCTATAAACTTCCTCTGAAAGATTAATTTCGCCATTTTGTGAAAATACAATGGCCGCCATTTTTGAAGAAATTCGGATGAGCACTATAAATTGAGCCATCACGGTTTAATATTGTAGTTAATCGTGTTTTAAAATGCTTTACAGGAAAGAGAGAAGGTTTTAAATTAAAAGTTAGAACGCTTCAGTTGAATAATGTTTCAGCTGGTCAAAAAAATACATTTTTCTCTAGGATTTTTTATTATTTAAAGTTACTTATTTATCCATTTAAATATAATACTGATTATTTAAAAAATTAAAATACATCCTTTTCTTATTTGAATCTGGAAATCTATTGCATGGTAATGGTTTGAAGAAAATCCAACTTAAAAAATTTAACTTTATATTTTTTGATATGATTCAAATTAAGATGAAAAGGGCCAGACCGACCAATTTTGTTGAAGCGACTGTGTGACGTAATTTCAAGCTAGTTTACATTTAACAAGTTCCATGTCCGATTCACCTCTAAAAATTTGATATTATCAATGGTGGTACCAATTTTAAGGTTAAAAATGAAGTTTTTTAGATTTTTAGTTTGAGATTTATTTATAAAATCGCTTTTTCCCCAATTTGTGATTAATCTTCATGTACAACACAATGTTGTTATGTGAGGAATGCAAAATGTGTAAAATTGTTAAGACTTCAAATCCTCAGTTGTTCACTGATAAAACATCATTAATCTTTTTTTAAGGAATAGTGGTATATGAGGTACAGGGTGGGCGGAGAAATATTTAGGGAAAAAATGAAAAAAAATGATTTTGTGACTTGTGAGTATATAACGTGATATATGATGGTTTCAGAAGAGACCTGGTGTTCAAATACGTCAAATATGCTTTTTATCCTCGCCTTGACAAATCGAACCAATTATCACCTGTTTGAGCCAAAATCGATCAAAAATCGTTTCGNAGTCGCATGCCTTTAATTCTCCTCTTCCTTCCGCTCTTTTCAATGCAAATAATTGGCAACAGGCTGTGCTTGCAAAAACCACATTGCACTTGGTAAATTGGGCAAATTTGGGGATATGGTTAGAAGAGGGGTAGAGGATGTACAGATATGGGGGCGGGGGAAAGAAGGGGAAAATGAAAGAAAAGACAAAAAGGGGAATGGGACACCTGCTGTTTATTTCTCACCCATTCTTTTATTCCATTCGTTTTATACAATCAATTATTTATCAAAAAGAAAATTTTTCAAATATATACTCCATTTTGAATTTTGATTTTTTAAGACAAAAGCTCCCGGGAAACATCCGACATATTGAAACCTCCAGGTGGTTTCTATCAAAAAAAAAACTGGGTCAAAACTGTTATTCAAAAAATATTATCATAACTTTATGGGTGGAGACAAAAAAAATCTAATTATTTATATATTGAAGATAAGGGGGTTCTTTTAAAGCAAAACAAATATGGAATATTAAAATATTTGTGTAAAGAATGAAATTTTTTGTATCGAGAGTCCGCCCATTTTTTAATATATGTCGTGTGAAAAGTTTAAAAGTTTAGAATTTCAGGAAATCCAGGCCAGGGGGGGTCCGTCATAGGACACCCTCCCCCCCCCCAATTTTTATGTCCTTCCCGTCCCCTAATCTTTTACCGTTCATACCCTTCTTTCTTTATATTTTTTTCTTCTATTCTTTTTTATGTTTAGTAATAAACTTAAATAAAAGATTCTTATTGCAAAAAGTTCAGCTTTGTTGTTTTGTTATTTGAAAGTATTTTTTATGTAAAAAAAATTTTCTAATCCCCATATCTTGCAACCTGATTGTGTATACCTTTAATCTATCAAGCTTGGACTGCTAGATCTAATAGAGTTCAAAGTTAAAAACACAAAAAACTTACGAAATTAAGTTGCAAAAATATTAGGATTACCAAATCAGAAATTGTGACAAAAACTAAGTTAGTTCCTTTGAGAAAACCAAATAGGTTTTTTTCTTTTTCTTCTTTATCCCATTTCATAATAGGGTATTCTCCTATTCCGTAGTTCTTGAATGTACATTGTAACAATACAAATTTCTTACATGTCAATCCATCTTGACAAATACGTGGGAAAACTTAAATTATTTAGGAAAAAATCCACCAAAATCAACCAAAATGGAACCAACGTTTTCTTTGGTCAATAAAAACATTTAAGTAACACATATATATATATGAATTATCAGAATTAAACACTTATATATCTAAAAAAACGATATCTTCCATATTATTGCATGATCAGATAAAGAATTCAAGGGTATCGTTGTGTATCGAGCATTTCCACCTTTGCATTGGAGATCAATTGAAATTACGCTTACAGTTCCTGTAAAGTGCTTTTTTGTTTCAGTTTACGTACGAAAAAATTCTCAAATAAAAAGGATTTCCGTTGTTAATATCTATACTTACAATTAATTTTTCATACAACAACTGTTATAAACAATTAAAAGTTTAATTACGGAAAACGGATGGTTTTTATAGATTATAAGATTAAAATTTTGCAAGATAAATAAACGGCCGCGTTGATAGTTTTATCTTTAAAATCAACTTCCTGTAGAAAACTCAACAAAACCTAAGTATGCAGTGTTTTTTGTTAAAACTTCAAATGCTTTTAAAAACCTCATTTCGTCTAACACTAAAAAACCATTTTTTTTAATGCTGGACATTTTGATTAAAACTTCTGTTTACGTAAAATTTAATAGCTTAAAGGTTTACACCATCAGGTTGCAAAGATATAGGGATTAAAAGTAAGAGTTTGAGGCGAGTGTTTAATTTCTCGTATAGCGGATGTTGCTTTTAGAAACAGGAAGACGATCATTAAAAAGGATTAGACGAGTTCTAAAATGGACTGATAGATTTTGGCCGCCCAGCTTTTGTTTCTCGTGGTATTTTTTAATTTAAATTTTCCAAGAAATTCTTCTTCAAAGTGTTTTTAGAGAAAGAATTGTTTACTGATAGACTGATGGCAGGCCGGGGGGTCTAAAAAGGGTTAATTCACGGCAAAAGGTAAAAATATAAAGGGTGGGGGGGGGGGAAAGTGGTTATTTGTTAAATCCTTAAACTATTTTTATATACTTTCTGTATAAATATGCAACATCAAGAACACTGCTTTTTTATCTAATCGGTTAACATTTCAGTTCAATATCATTAAATTGCTTTTTTTTATTATTTTATTCTTGATTTATTATATCATCTTTGTAGTGAAGAATACCAAATACTCTCATACTTTATTATTTTTATTTCTTTTCTTCAAAAACTATCAAAGACTTTAACTGCAACCAATAAAATATAAAGAGAGTATTTGAAGTAAAGAAATAAAATGCATCTAAATTAAGATTTCTATCTAAATATGTAAAAAGGTGTGAATGGGGTTTAAGTTTTGCATAAAAGAAAAGCCCTAGAATAAAACCTTAAAACAAATGCAACGGAAATAAAAACTATAGATTATAGATAAATATATAAATACAAGCATAATTTTTTTTTGTAATCATCCAGGATTATAAAACAAATTGCATTTATTATAAACACAGGGGCTTCCATTCTCACAATCCCTAATAAACAAAACAAAAACTTTTAAAGTTTTATAAGTTTTGTAAAACATTTATTTATTTGAAGTCTGTGTAAACTAAACTTTTAAAATTCTAGCAAAAAATAAAAAATAAAAGAATTCAGTTTTAAAGTGTGTCCAATCAAAAACGATATTTCTCAAAATTGTTATGAAAAATTATATTTTGATGTTTGTACAATGTAAAAAGGAATAATATCATGGTTTTACTCTTTTAGTAAGTATCAGTAATGTTTTTCACATATCAAGCTGGGCGTAAATCACTTTTTAAATGTACTTTCAATAAAAAATGGTTTAGCCAATCATGGAGCGGACTTGATCCATATTGCAGTACGGCAATAAGGCCAGGCCGGTACGAATTTAGTAGAGCAGTCCCATCCCTGATTGTCTAGTGTTAATCAAGGTGTGTTAAGTATATATATTCAGAACTTTTTTTAATATAAAAATATATTTATGTTGAGTTGAGGGAGGGAGGGGTGGCTGCTCCATAGAGAATAGAATATATAGAGAGGAATTAAAAGAATCTCTCGGTATGAATTTTTTCAGTCCCTTTCAGCCAGAAAGGGAGTTCAAAGTGTACAAATCATGTAAATGTTCACAAATTATATGCAGTAGAGTACATTAATACAGTATGTTGCCTATACTATCCATTTCAATTTCGAATTTTTTAAACTGTAAATTTTATAAAACGTCCTTTAAATAGGGTACTTTATAACCGAAAATTGAAAAAAATTTCTCTGCTACCCCTTTTTTACTGTCTTTGTTCAGATATTTGCGGGGGGAAAAATCGCAAATTTCAGTCCAAGTAGCCTGTGGCGATCATATTATAGTATTGATTATTGGTAAATGTAAAAAAATGTTTGTTTTTAGCTAGATATAGGTTTCATTAGAGCTGGTCTAATAGATCTAAACATCTTTATGAGTTATCTAATTTCCAAGTTTTTTCATCAACTGTTTGCCTAAAAAATCTTTAATTAATTGGTGTCTTAAAAAATGCGTTTTTACTCAACAACAGTCACAAAATAAAAATTGTTCTATATCAAATTTAGAGCCTGTTAGATGGCGCACACTGTACCAAAAATTATCAAATTTTTGAGATATCTGAGGAAAACTATGTTTTTTCTTAGTTTTCCTCAGATATCTCAATAACTTGATGATTTTTGGTACAGTGCGGGCCATGTAGAAGGCTCTAAATTTGAAATAGAACAATTCTTATTTTGTGACTGTTGTTGAGTAAAAACGCATTTTTCAATGGCACCAATCAATTGAAGATTTTTTTTTAAGCGAATCAATGAAATTTTCTGAAAAAATTTGGAAAATTGAGTTTTTGTAACAAATTCTGATTTTCCAATACCCATATTTTTTCCACCTGATTGTGTAAACCTTTGATATTTCAAACTTAGATTCATTTATCTAACAGAATTCATAGTTTGAAATATCTAAGGTCTACGGCATTGGATTACAAAGATATAGAGATTAGAAAATCATAGTTTGTGACAAAGACTCAATTCCTTTGGAAGAAAAAAAATTTGGGAGCAAATTCAAAACCCTGAGAGCAGCCACCCCTCCCTCGTTGAGGCAATTACAAGCAAATTTTTAAGAAGACTAGCTGTCATTTTTTCTAATTCCATTTTTAATGTATTTTCAAAATTATTTGTTTAAAATGAAAAGTTGAATATTACCGGTCATCTGTACATGTTGAACGTGAAGTCAAAATGAAGGCGTCATCCATGATTTTATTTTCATAATAAAATGTCGTTTTTTCTTCGTTTCTTGTATTTCCTTTCCTTTTCATATGCTTCTTTCTATTCCTTTTCTTATACTTCTGTTTTCCATTATCTTTCCTTTCCATCACTTTCTTGATGTTCGCTGGTGTATTCAGATTTGTAACCTTATTTCCATGCTCTATCAAGAAAATCAAGGTAATTTTTATGGAATTTTTAAGTTTTTAATATCGAAGTACAATACAAGATCTTAAAACAAGAAAATTGGGTTAAGACAAACTCCTGAAGAAAAAAATAATTTTGAATAAATTATTTAAATTTTTCATTTCATTCTAGGGTTTGCCTTTTGTTTTTAAGCAGGCTGCAAAAGAGGCCAAGCTCTGCGGTTATTAGAGCGGGCGAGAGGGTATATACTAAATAGGTGATCGACCAAAAAATTCAAAAGTGTTCACGTTTTGCCTCTTCAGAAGTTAGTTTTCGGGATTTTTTAATGAATACCTTTAATATATCCTACTCCAGTAAACTTATCTCCTATTACTTGTATTCCACGCTTAGTTCGTAGCTTGGAATTCACATCAGCTAACTAGAATTAAGGTGTTATTAAGGATGTCCTAATTAACACGGGAATTCATGGACGACTTTTATTTTGTCTTCGATCCATGCGACATAAACACAATTATTGCAGTAATAGATTAATTAAAATAACAGATACGACACTAGATGTCGTCTTTTCAATATTTAGGGGGTTTTTCGTTCATAAAAACCCTAAGGCAGAGGCTTAAAGGAGTTACGCGCAGTCGGCGTAATATAGAATCTCTTCCTGTCTTATAATTCTATGCCAAGTGCGTAACTTCTTTGGGCTTCTGCCACAGGGTTATTGTGAACGAAAAATCCATTAATCTTGAAAAGACGACATCTAATGTCCTATCTGTTATTTTAATTAATCTACGGTGGTAGTCGATTATATCAATATAATAAAGACGACTTTCGATTTTGATTTTGATTTATATTCAGCTTTAAACAGCATGAATAAACAAAACATGAAAACAAAGAAACAAACAAACAAAGATTACTACTTTTTTATATATATAGACTATTCACAAATACAAGAGAACCAGAAAACTGTGGAATATGAAGACAACGTTAGAGCATTAACTGTATTTGATGTTGTAACAAAGCAAACAGTTTTTCTATTAACATCAAATCACTTATTTAGTTCTTTCTACTCCATAGTTTTCTGGCTCTCACTGTAACAAGCCAGAAATACTTTCACAACATTCCTTTTTTTTAAAGGGAGTGTCTGGCTAGACATTGTAGTCGAGCTGAGAGTGCAATATTGTAGAGAAATTTTTCAGAATCACAAAATTACGCAGGCGTACCGCGCCACAACCTGCCTCGGGGCGAGCCACATCAAACTAACCAGGAGGCGAAGTCTGTCTCTGGTAGAAATAGTTACTGTTGAAGAGACTGTCTCTGGTAGAAATAGTTACTGTTAAAGAGACTGTCTCTGGTAGAAATAGTTACTGTTAAAGAGACTGTCTCTGGTAGAAATAGTTACTGTTAAAGAGACTGTCTCCGGTTGAAATAGTTACTGTTAAAGAGACAGTCTCCGGTTGAAATAGTTACTGTTAAAGGTACTGTCTCCGGTATAAATAGTTACTGTTAAAGGGACTGTCTCTGATAGAAATAGTTACCGTTAAAGAGACTGTCTCTGGTAGAAATAGTTAATGTTAAAGAGACTGTCTCCGGTTGAAATAGTTACTGTTAAAGAGACTGTCTCAGGTAGAAATAGTTACTGTTAATGAGACTGTCTCCGGTATAAATAGTTACTATTAAAGAGACTGTCTCCGGTTGAAATAGTTACCGTTAAAGAGACTGTCTCAGGTTGAAATAGTTACTGTTAAAGAGACTGTCTCCGGTATAAATAGTTACTATTAAAGAGACTGTCTCCGGTTGAAATAGTTACTGTTATTAGACAGTCTCTGGTAGAAATAGTTACTGTTAAAGAGACTGTCACAGGTTGAAATAGTTACTGTTAAAGGGACTGTCTCCGGTAAAAATATTTACTGTTAAAGAGACTGTCTCTGGTAGAAATAGTTAATGTTAAAGAGACTGTCTCTGGTTGAAATAGTTACTGTTAAAGATACTGTCTCCGATAGAAAAAGTTACTGTTAAAGAGACTGTCTCCGGTTGAAATAGTTACTGTTAAAGAGACTGTCTCCGGTAGAAATAGTTACTGTTAAAGAGACTGTCTCCGGTTGAAATAGTTAATGTTAAAGAGACTGTCTCCGGTATAAATAGTTACTGTTACAGGGACTGTCTCTGGTAGAAATAGTTACTGTTAAAGAGAGTGTCTCCGGTTGAAAGTTGAAAGTTCTTTCTTTTGAGTTTAACAATGTAATAACCACACTACTCTGAAATAGGAAGACGACATTAAGACTAACGTTATGACTTTTAAACAGACCCATTTACTTAATATAGTGAGTTAATATGTGTCTAGTAAAACTATTTTCTATGTAACAACATCAAACTTAAGTATTGCTTTAATGTCGTCTTCCTATTTCAGAGTTTTCTGATTATTACTGTATTAAAACAGTTAATTACATGTTAATTGATATTATTTTTTCTTCATATGTAAATATAATATCTTTTGAATCATCTGTAAAAGAAAAAATAAAAAGTTTTTGCAGCAAATTTTGTTTTGCTTTAATACCCCCCCTCCGTGTTTCTGCTTCCTTTTCAATTACTCTATTCGTTCCGTATATATTCATTATTGTTCGCTGATTATTAGTGATTATGACGAGAAGGTGACGATTTGGTATTCTAATTATTATGATTATCATAATTATGATTAATTAATAATAATTCCTGATGATTACGTGGTTTAAAGTGAAATATTCATTTCCAGAAGTTAAGGGTTATGGGAGTTATGCATTCTTATCGAGTATGGGGCTTGGAGAGAGTCGGTGAATATACATATATTTAGAATACAGTGAATATACTTCTATTTATAATACGGTGAATATACTTCTATTTAGAATACAGTGAATAAACTTCTATTTAAAATACGATGAATATACTTCTATTTAGAATACGGTGAATTTACTTTTATTTAGAATATGGTGAATATACTTCTATTTAGAATACGGTGAATATACTTCTATTTAGAATACGGTGAATATACTTCTATTTAGAATACAGTGAATTTACTTCTATTTAGAATACGGTGAATAAACTTCTATTTAGAATACGGTGAATTCTATTTAGAATACGGTGAATATACTTCTATTTAGAATACAGTAAATATGCTTCTATTTAGAATACGGTGAATATACTTCTATTAAGAATACAGTGAATATATTTCTATTTAGAATACGTTGAATATACTTCTATTAAGAATACAGTGAATATACTTCTATTAAGAATACGTTGAATATACGTCTATTCATAATACGGTGAACATACTTCTATTTAGAATACGGCGAATATACTTCTATTTAGAATACGGTGAACATACTTCTATTTAGAATACGGCGAATATACTTCTATTAAGAATACGTTGAATATACGTCTATTCATAATACGGTGAACATACTTCTATTTAGAATACGGCGAATATACTTCTATTTAGAATACGGTGAACATACTTCTATTTAGAATACGGCGAATATACTTCTATTTAGAATACGGTGAATACTTCAATTTAGAATACGGTGAATTTACTTCCATTTAGAATACGGTGAATATACGTCTATTTAGAATACGTTGAATATACTTCTATTTAGAATACGGTGAATACTTCTATTTAGAATATGGTGAATATACGTCTATTTAGAATACGGTGAATACTTCTATTTAGAATACGGTGAATATACATCTATTTAGAATACGGTGAATGTGCTTCTATTTAGAATATAGTGAATACTTATATTTAGAATACGGTGAATGTACGTCTATTTAGAATATGGTGAATATAATTCTATTTAGAATACGGTGAATACTTCTATTTAGAATACGGTGAATATACTTCTATTTAGAATACGGTAAATACTTCTATTTAGAATGCAGTCAATATATGGCTATTTAGAATACGGTAAATATACTTCTATTTAGAATACTGTGAATATACTTCTATTTAGAATAAGGTAAATATACTTCTATTTAGAATACGGTAAATATACTTCTATTTAGAATATGGTGAATACTTCTATTTATAATACGGTGAATATACGTCTATTTAGAATACAGTGAACACTTCTATTTATAATACGGTGAATATACTTCTATTTAGAATACGGTGAATATACTTCTATTTAGAATACGGTGAATATACTTCTATTTAGAATATGGTGAATACTTATATTTAGAATACGGTGAATATGCGTCTATTTAGAATACAGTGAATACTTCTATTTATAATACGGTGAATATACTTCTATTTAGAATACGGTGAATATACTTCTATTTAGAATA